TATATTAATTAATTTTTTTTTTCTATTAATTCAAAATCACATAATAAAAAGTGATGACTTTAGATTACGTGCATCATATAAGTTTCCTTGGAAGATTATTTTCATGATTTTAATGAAATTAGCAACAAATTCATTATATTTTTTTTCACTGCGAACAGAAAAGATAAAGGTATTATTTGTCATACTGGCTTCATAAAAGTGTGCTTAGATTAGTCTAGTAACTTCTTTATAACTTCTGACTCGTCAGAAATTATTTGACTAACTAGAGGGTTTATTTATGATAATTCAAAAATATATATACTATTTATATCATAGTATAGATGCTGGTTAATCAACATCGTTATATTTTTCTTGAGTTTGCCTTTCAATTTATTTATATTTTTTCAATTTTATCAGAGTTAAGAGGTCTTTCTTTATTCATTTTAATTACTCCTATATCACACAAACTGCAGACTCCTTCAAAAGTAATCTCAAACTAATATAATTAGATAATGTGTTAGTTTCAATAATATAATAATCTTATTATTAAAAAAATGCATGCGCTATTAGTACATATGCAAAGTTATCATCTTAGTATAGCCATCACGTCAATAAAACTTTGTGTGATACTAAATAACTACATAATATCTTACAGATTAATCACCCCCTCATGTATTCCTGAAGCAGAACTAATGGAATTATTAAAACACAAGTAATAGTTTATACATTCTACATGTAGTTCAAGAAATAGTTCCTTTAGATATAGGCTAATAGGATAAATACACTGTTATTTCAGATCTCATTCATTGAGTAGATCACATAATATCATCATTTAGTAGAAAAGAAATATTAGTAAAACTTTATAACTAATCTGAAAAAGTATTCGAAAAAGTTTTAATTGATGTGAAGATTTTTCAGTATAAAGATTACTAGCAAACCCTATGGCTTGGTCTACAATACTTCTTAAATCATTTTGTGAAATCCAAGGATCTTCTTCTATTCTCTGATAAATGACCGAGATAGCAATAATGTGTTCTTGCTTAGCAGTTACTAAAATTGTAAATTTTCGAGTATAGTTCAAAAGACATAGTTTTGTGTTGTTAATATTGAATAAGTAACCTGAACATAAATTTTTCATACTGCTCTTTTAAATGCTATTATTTCTCATTCTCTTCATGTTGGAGGAGAGGAAAATATGTAAGACACTTTACGCCTATATTTGAGAATAAGAGCATATGGATGTGCATTGTAGATCTCAACATTACATCATATATACTTTAATGATGATTGAAAACATGCTAATTTATATCATATATGCCTACATACATTAGCCTTAAGATGCTTCGCATAGCTGAACAATATTTTATTAAGACAATATTCAGAATCTTTTTCAAAAAATACTTTATTAAAATTATTATACAATATATTGCTGAGGATCTAACCCTGCAGATTATGCATAGCGCTTTTAGCTAATTTTACTAAGCAATCATCTATCATGTAGTGCAAAAAATAAATTATATTAGTTAAATTAGTTAAATAATCATGATTTTTGTTTCATCCTTTAATCTTAATATTATACCTTTTGGCTGATTAAGATGGTTTAAATTATTTTTTTTGCATATTTAAATAAAATAAATATTTTGCTTGTATTACTTTGGTAATTTGATGATGATAAGAAGTTAGTGAAATATTTTCTTGCCTGACAGATAAAATACAAGCTGACTTGAAATTTGAAGCACTTGGCATAGTATTTTTTGCTACAATTGCTTTAGATTATGCATAATTTTTATAGCTAACCGTAAATTTCCATCATGATCATAAGATATTAATGCTAACTTATCCTTTTCTAAGTATAAGTTAGATTAGGAGAAAAGCTCTAGATGAAGGCAATTAATTTTAGCTACTTCTTATAATATGAATTGTTTATATTGCCAGATATGAAATTCCTTTTTATTAATAAATTTGAGAATTTTTTCTCTTTTTGCATGTTCATTCAAAATAGTATTTCCAGAAATACATCTTTTCAAATAGCTATCTTGATAGTAATTAGCTCTATTAAAACCATTTTCAGGTATAAAAACTAAGGAGTCACATATATTACAATATATGTAATTTGATGGAAAACCATAGACTTTATCATATTCATAGGGGGTCTTTGCAATAGAAAGGGAGGAAACTCCAAAAAAATTAAAATTTTAGTTTATAAGCCAAAATGTTCTAAATACTATAATTTGTTCAGATTTATTATTAACTGATTTTTTATTTTTTTTTGAGTTTTCTCCCTTTCTATTGCAAAGGTCTCATATATTATATTAATTAATATATATTTAAAAAATTTTAATTAAATATTTTTAAAAATTGTAAACTAATATTAAATTTTAATTTTTTTTATATAATAATTTAATAAAACTAAAATTTATTTAATTTAAATTTAACTTTTTTAAAAATTAAATTTAATAAATAAACTTTAAAAGAATAAAAAATAAAAAATATTATTTTAATAACTTTAAATTAATAAATAAATAAATTATTTATTTAATATTAATAATATTAATAAAATTATTATTATCATAATTAAAAGAGAAATAAATATTTTTATTAAATTTTTTTTTTTTAAGTTTTATATATTACTTAATTAATTAATTTTTCTTTTAAGATTTTATAATATTAAAAAAAATTTTTTATTTTAAAAGTATTTTTTTAAATACAATTATTTTCTTTATAATTATATTCTTAGAATTAAAAATAAAAAATGTGATTATAATAAAATGTGACTATATAGAAAGATTTTTATATATTGTTATTAAATATTAGTTCTGAAAGATATAATAATAAAAATACTGTAATTATAAAGCATTTTTATTAATTATTAAAAAATATTAATCCTTATAAAATATATGCTTATAATAAGGAATTTATATAATATGATTTTATAAAGGATAACTAAAGAGAAGAGTAAATTATATATATTATTTTTTTTTATTATAAATTTATATTTATATAAATTAAAATTTATTTAAGAAAAAAATTATAAATTTAAATATAAATTAAATATAATAAATTATATTATTTTTAGTTAATTTTTTTATTATATTTTTATTTTAATTTTTATAATTTTTTTAGATAAAAATGAAAAAAATTTGTAATTAAATATTAAAGATAATAATTATAAAAGATAAAATAAAATTTATTAATAATTAGAAAATAGTATCTATTAAAGCATCTAAAGTATTATAATTATATAAATATTAATAATACTTAGTGTATTAACAAAAAATATCACTAAAAAAATATATTACTTAAAGCAAAAGTATTGCTAAAATATATGAAGTTAAATTAAAAATATACTGCTTAAAAAAATGTATTACTTAAAATAAAATTTATTATTAAAATAAAAATGTATCACTTTAAAAAATATATTATAAAAAAAATATATATTGCAAATATTCAATTTATATTTAATAAAAAATTTTTTATACAAGAAATATTCTGTTTTTTAATTAAAACTATTTTGTGTTTTATTTTATTTTATATTGTAATACAACTTATATTTTACAATAAATAAATAATTTATGATGAAACAATTAATATTAATCATATGTTTATATTTTATTAATATTTAATTATTTATTTAAAATTAACTAATATTTATATGTTATTATTTTTGTTATTTATTATTATTTATTTATTTTATTATAATTACTGCAAATGTTTATTATATTACATCTGATTTCAAAATTTCATTGATCATAATTTTAGATTTTTAATTTATATAATCATTTATTTTGTTGTTATTATTACACCTAATTCTAAAATTTCATTAAGCATATATGTAGCATAATAAACAGATATTACATAGTTTTAAGTATATCTTATAGTCCTTTGGATAATAATAATTAGTAGTTTTATTAATATTATAATCATACTTTTATAAAAAAAATTTAGTATTTAATTATTATATATTAAAGATAAATAATTAACTATTAAGTTATAATTGATTGTATTATTTTAAATATTAATATTTTAATTTATAATTTATTATAAATTTAAAGATTGTAATCTAAATCATAAATATAAAATTTTTAAATTAATTATAAATACTATCTTTATAATATATTAAAATTTATATATCATTATTTTTATATAATATTAAAATATTACTAATTTATCTTTATTTAAAAATTAAGATCAAAATATATAAACTTTTAAAAAAATTATAATTGAAAAAAAAATAAAAAAAATATTTATTATAATAAATATATTTATATTTGATTATAAATATTTATAAACAATTAAATGACTAAGTAATTTTAAGTATAAAAAAGATATTTAACTTGATTTATTTATTTTTATTCAAAATAAAAATATAATAATAAACTATAAAAAGATTAAATATTATTTGTGAAAATGATTATTATTATTAAAAAAAATTTACTATTATATTAAATGTTTAATTAAAGAATTAATAAAGAATTTTGTGCTAACCCTTTGATTCTCGTTAAGGTCACTTGACCTATACTTGATCTTTATAAGATTAAACAATATCTTTGTAAAATCATAAAAAAAAAAAATACCATCCCTGTAAATCGTTAATTAATGAAGATCTTTTTTTGATCGAATGAATATAATTGGTTTAGAATTACACACAATAATAATTTTTTTTTACATTGTAAACTACACTAGATTAGGAAAGTAATTGAAATAGACAAATTTTAAATATTGTTTCTTGTTCAGAATACTGTAATAGTTAAATAATCAAGAACGAAAGCTCGTTTGCATTAATAACGTATATGATTTGTTCTCAATTCTTGATTCAGCAATAGGAAATTACTAAAATAATAATCATTATGATTACTAGATATACTTTTGATTACACGATCGAATATTTATTTTAATGATCAAATGTTTTTGGGGGGATTTTTTCCTTTCCGTACGTTACTTTTGCCAGTAATAGTCGTAAAATTGCACCAATGAGAATTTAATAAATATTATCACAAAGTTCTCATAATACAGCTGGCATAATGAAACGATGTTACGGAAATTTCTTTAAAGAGTCCTTGACGTCGCAGGGAAATATTTACAAGGATGCAAGTATTGACAATTGCGCGTAGGTGTAGATTTAAAAGATCTTACATATACGTTACGTATACGCATTTAAGTGTACAGTATGATTACTTAATGATGAAGCGGTAATCTCTCAGGGGAAATACGTCACCTTAAGGTTCAATGTTTATGCAATGATGATATCGTAATTATGGATGTTTTGACACCAAATGGTGCTTTAAATGTAATATGCAAACATGTGTTTTAATAATTGCCGAAACCCCCGAGATAACCAAACACAGGATTATATAATAATTGGTTTTCATTGAAAAAAGATTTTAAGTTTAATTCTTAATGTAATCTAACATGTTAATGGTAAAAAAAAAAATACCATGAAATTTGAAAGGTTTTTCCTTTCTATTATTAAAGTTCATTTAAATGATTAAAGTTTACCAATAACTTCATTGATTATAAGTGGAGGCTAATTATTTCGCATATACATATACATTGCTTACCTTCCGAATTTACCCACGATGCCCTAAAAAAAAAAATTTGAAACGCCAAAGCATCTGTTTTGTAAATATTTACACAGAAGACTACATATTTATTTGTTGTTTGTTTTTATTTAATAAACCGTACTTTGGGAAATAAAAAAAAAAGAAAAGGTTTCCAAAGTTAATATTTTATACCTATTAAATTAACCTACGTTAAATAATATGCTACGCAAAATCAATTTAGGTTAGGTTATAGTATATTAATGCCTTTTAATTAGTTAGATAAAAAAAGGTCCAACCTAAGTTTAATTACTATAAATATCAATCTCTTATTACATTGATTGAGAAAAAAAGAAAGACGTAACAGCAAATCATATTTAGGAAAAAACCATCGGACAATGACCAAAGTTATGGAACGTTGAAAATGTGACTAGATCTTTTCCGTCTTAGTCTAAAAATAAAATGATGATGTTTGGACCAGTTGAACCGTTTTATCAATGCTTACGTTGATTTAATTATACATTCCCAACTACGCCAAACAAAGTAAAGTGGCGTGTTGTTTATAAGACGCGCTTTGTTAATTCGGCCAAAAACCACCAAAAAGGTCTTACCGTTTATAAAAAAGAAATTGCGATTGGGTAATACAATATATGTTCGCGCGTTTATATAACATGTAAAAATAAAGAACCGTGCGTAAATGCGTCATTGTTGTATTTATTTACAACATTGTCATTGAGTTTGAGATGTACTATTAGTCTAAATAAATGTACGATTAATGAAAAAAAATCTAGGCCCACTAAAAAACTTTAAAATTTTAAGTTAAATTAAGTGATTGCCAAATTTATTAATTTATCAAAATTAAAAATTAGGTAATATTATTTGTAATCCAAAGAAATTCATAAAAGGTATTTGATAAATACTTTTTAATTTTGAATGACAACTAATAAATAAAAAATGATTGTAAACTAAAGAATTTAAAAAAGGTAATTAATAAATACTTGCTAATTTTGAATTAGTATAAAAGTATATATTTATTTATTTTTTTTTTTTATTTTTTTTTATTTTAAGTTTGCACAATCTTTAATAAAAGCAAAAGTATTAAATATTTATTTATTTATTTATTTATCTATTCTTATTGATTCATAGTCTAAACTTCTCATTTTATACATTATATTAAATACAAAAGATGTAAGGGTCCAAAAGAGTGAAAAAAGGGCCTTCAATAAAA